ATTGAGAATGTTCTTTATTCCAGTCATGTGTTTAGAACATCCACTGTCAAAGTACCAGCCTTCCTTTGCAGACACTCTCAGGGAAGTGTGGGCTATCAGGGCAGTAGCCTTTTTCTTCCATTGAGGAGTATGTGGTACCCTTTTTGACTTAGGTTTAACACCTGAGTTTTGATTAGGGTATCCATGCAATTTGAAGCAGGAGGGCTTTATGTGTCCATACCTTCCACAATGATGACATCTCCATCTTTGGTACTTTTTCTTCATATATTTCTGTTTCTGATGTTGAGCGTTGTGTTGAGACATCTGCTTTGACATTTGTTTAACAGGCCTGATCTTCTTGTCTGTACTAGATTTCTTGGCTTCCACAAATCCTAGTCCAGATTTGTTTCCCACATTTTGTCCAACTTGAAGAATCTCTTCCAATTTGTCTGTTCCATTTGTCAGCATCTTGACAGATTTGGTCATTTGGATCAGTTGTGAGTTCAGCAATTTAACTTCCCCTTCTAGATGACTTATAGTATCAAGGTTTGCCCTTTTTTCAGCCTCCAGCTTTATGATGAGTTTTGATTGTTTCTCATTCTGCACACAGACTTCAGTACTTCTGATACACAATTTCTTGTAAGTATCAGTCAGTTCTTCAAATGTCACTTCTTCATCACTAGTGTCACTTTCAGAGGTACAGACACCAGTTAGAGCAGTAACTAGTTTGGCAGATTCTTCTTCAGAATTACTTTCTGAATCACAGTCAGACCAAGTAACAGTCATTCCTTTCTTTTGTTTCTTAAGAAAGGTAGGACATTCAGCTCGAATATGCCCATATCCTTCACAGCCATGGCATTGAATTCCTCTGCCTTGATTTCCCTTCTCTTCTGACCTTGGTCTTCTGCTGGAACTGTCAACGTCAGAGGGAATGTTATGAACATTAGACCTTGACTTTGGATCTATTCTTTTGATGAGTTTGTTGAACTGTCTTCCAAGCATGGCTATAGCTTCTGAAATATTTTCTTCTTCATCCTCCTTGTTTTCAACATCAGTGTTGGATACAAGTGCTATGCTCTTGTTCTTCTTGTCACCATTTTCAGTGATCCCCATCTCAAAAGTCTGAAGAGACCCAATTAGTTCATCCACTTTCAACTTGCTGATGTCCTGGGCTTCCTCTATGGCAGTTACCTTCATAGCAAATATTTTAGGCAAGGATCTGAGAATCTTTCTCACCAATTTTTCTTCTGACATCTTTTCTCCCAGTGCTCCTGAGGTGTTGGCAATCTCCAAGATGTTCATGTGAAACTCATGAATGGTTTCATCTTCCATCATTTTTAGATTCTCAAACTTGGTAGTCAACATCTGAAGCCTTGACATTTTCACTTTGGAAGTGCCCTCATAAGTAGTTTTGAGAGTGTCCCAAACTTCCTTGGCCAATTCATATTGATGTACTAGTCTGAAAATGTTTCTATCAATTCCATTGAATAAGGCATTTAAAGCTTTGGAATTTCCCAGGGCTAACTCATCTTCTCCTTTACTCCAATCTTCCTCAGGCTTCAAACTGATTGTCCCATCTTTCTCAGTTATGGTGGGATGGATCCATCCTTTGTCAGCAGCTCTCCAAGCCTTTTTGTCCAGAGATTTTAAGAAGGCAATCATACGAGGTTTCCAGTAGTCATAATTTGTTCCATCTAGAATGGGTGGTCTATTTCCAAAAACTCCTTCTTTGTCCATAGTGCCAGAAAGTGATATCCCTAGATCTCACCCAGTAATACAGGCAGGGTGCCTGCTCTGATGCCAATTGAAATTCTGGCTGCAGATACTCAATGTCACGTTCAATGTTATGACACCGTATCTGACTTTCTATAAGACAGTAAATACAAAAACAGTAAAGAACACAGTCAATTGTTTACCCAGTTCAGTATGCAACAACACCTACTCTGGGGGCTACCAAGCCAGGGAGGAAATCCACTATAAGAGATATTAATTCAGGAATAAACCAACCAGTTTATCTCCTTCACTTAAGACCTACCCAATGCAACTTCAATCTAAGTACAACTTAAACCTGAGTTCCTACTCACTCCCCCTCAATCACAGCAGTGATACATAAAACAATTTGACTAATGAATTGATGAAGACACTCTTCAAAACATACACTTGATTATGCTTCACAGCTTTTTAATCAAGCGACACAAACACTCTTGCTTCACAGCTTTGAGTGATACATCAACCTAACTTGACTTTGCTTCACAGCTTTAGTCAAGAGACATACAATCACTCTTGCTTCAAAGCTTTGAGTGATACACAACCCTTACAATTAAAACCTATTCCAAGTCACTTATCATAATGATAATTGCTTGGATTACAATAGTTAAAACTATACAGCTTCTAAATGATCTTCTGTCAAAAAGGGATACATTCCAAGACAGCAGCTCTGTTGAATATATAGCAGTTGCATCTTCAGTTAGGGTTTCCACAAAAAGCTAGGGTTAAATCCGTTTGACCTTAAGACTAGGTCACAGGACTAGATCAACCAGGTTGGGGTTGAGCTAGGTTAACCCAAAGAAAATGCTGGATTCTGTTCTGGAAAGACTGAGTCATTTTCCTGAAAAAACTCAGAATTAACCAAACTGCATACCTGTTAGTTCAGAACAGGATGTCTTAACATTTGTTATGACATCTAAATTCCTGTTTACTGATTTTGGTAAATGTGATCATTTTGCAAAATGCTCAGATACACACTCATAAACATCAGTACCTGTATGACAATATTTTTCTGCAAAGGTACCTAATAAATATGTACCTAATAAACTAGAATGTTATGACATCAGTCATGACATTCATACACCTGGTTTTACCAAAAATGCATGCCAATACCTAAACAACTACAAGAAGCAAATGAACAAAATGAAATAGTTCATACAGCAGATGGTATAACACGCATATTTTCAGAAATACATCTCTGAAAGTATACCTGGATGTTTAAATTTAATATTTCACTATGTTACTTCTCTGAAATTATGATTGGCATGAATTTTGATAAAATTAACTTTGCAGCAACATGTTAAACAAGATGTTTCAACTTGCAGATTCAACATATCGAATGTGATGTCCTAACCAGAAGTACATGACATCTGGTATGTTACAGTTTTGTAGTTTGGAAGATATTTCAACTTGAAGTTTCAATATGTTGAATGTGATGTCCTAACCAGAAGAGAGGGACATCGGGTCTGTTACAGTTTTGCAGTTTAGAAGATATTTCAACTTGTTGTTTGAATATGTCGAATGGGATGTCCTAACTAAAAATATAGAATATCAAGTCTGCTACAGCTGACAGGTTGGATTCAGTTGTTGTGAATTAATTACTGAATATTCTGGGAATATTTAGTAACCTATGTGGCGTCCTAGATTGATAAATAAGAGATTGTATGTTGATATTCAAGATATTCAAAGTTTCTAAATATGAAGACATTTTAGAAAAGTTTTGATTGAAAACCTATTTTCTTGGAGAAGTTTTTACAGACTTTGTGCAGTCTCCTTATTGCGTTTTTGAGACTCAAATCCAGTTGGGAAACAGGTTATAAATAGAAGTGTTTGTAACCTATGAAACGTAACAGCCGAGAATGTAATATTATTAGGAGTTGAGTCTGTAAGTTACTCTCTAGGAGAGTTGGTATGTGTGATTCACTCGGCTTGTGATTTGGACTGTGTTATAGAGTTGTAACTCTCTATTATTGTTCTACTCAAAGCTATGAAGTAAGAGTGAGTATTGTTCTTGGAAGAAGCTTTTAAGCAACTCAAAGTATTATTCTTGATCATAGCTTTTAAGCAAGATCAAGTATGTTGTTCTTAATTATGGGGTGTCTTGATTAAGGTGTTTTCTTTGTATTTGAAGTGTGATCTTCATTTAGGTGAAAGGTCGTCGATAAAGTAATTGTAACTGGGACTGTTAAACATCACTGCGGTGATTGAAAGTGAGATAGGATTTCTCATATCTAGGGAGGACCTAGATAGAAATTTCACAAGGTAGTGATTAAGTGATAAGTTGTAAACGGAAGAGTTTAGCTTTGAATTGATATTGTCTAATGGATTTTCTTCCTGGCTTGGTAGTCCCGTAATAGGTGTTGTTGTCACCGAACTGGGTTAACAATTCTTGTGTTGTTTTACTTCTCGATGTTGTTTTATATATTTATACTTTGCCATATTGTTTTAATTAAGACATATATCTTGACATCTTATAGGACATTTGTGATCTGATTTACCAGAATTTCACACTAGATACATGATATTTTCGGAAACGCATTTCTGAATTTACCCTAAAGTGTGATATTGGATGCTTTCGAAAATATATCCCTGAAACACCTTGACTTGAGATGCGTTCGGAAATACATTTCCGAATGGTATTTTCGATTTTTCAGGGGTTTTTTCTACCCCTAAGAGGTGTAAAAAGAAATTCCATAATTTGAATGTTATGATGTCCAATGTTATATCCATTTGAATGAATGTCACACTTTTAGTAAGTAGCTAGAGAAAATGTTCACCCTAACTTTATTGGCACCAAATACAAAAACATAAACCTCATAATTTGATGAAACCAATTTGTAGCTTGTTTGGGTTTATAAGAGGTTTTTGACTAAGTTATTGAAAACATTTTTGTAACTTAGATTTGAAAGCATTCAAAATATAAAGTAAAGCATGAAAAAGAAAGACCACATTGTCTACTATCAATTAATAGGCATATAAAAAACATCTTTGGGACAAGATGAAAAAGTCAAATAGAAAGTAACTCCGGGAGAAGAAAGGCACCAAATGTAGCCCTCATAGCCTTTTCCTTTCCCTCATAACTCTCAAACAAAGGCTAATATTCTTTTTCAGTTATTTAAAATCAAATCGAACTGCATGACAGGAAGAAAAAAAATGTAGTACTTGAATGGAATAGATGTCACTTCACTTCATCACATAACATTCAATCTCAGCAAATTCCATCCATCCACTTCATTTATTATTTGCTAAAAGCAATGCAGATCAATTATTCAAGGCTTATGCAAAATTTGCAAAAGACCACAGCATTTCATTCTTCTGTTACCACCACTACAATTCATTATTTATCAGACAGAATGTTCAACTTCAAAAAAAGCAACACTGCATACAAAGTTGCAGGCCTAACACTAACTATGAAAACTTGCCAGACATTTTGCTCAGTCTTTTCAGAAACTACTACTATGTAGTTTTTCTTTTTCCATGATTTTATCTAATCTTTATCTGCATCAACATTTGAAGGTGTTTCATCAGTTTTAACCTCTGCATCAACATTTGAAGGTGTTTCATCAGTTTTAACCTCTGCAGCAGTTGGCTTAACAGCAGCATCGACATCAACATCGCGGGGAGTAGATTCTGATGGCTCCGCGGTGGACTCAGCAACTGGAACTTCTTTTTTTATAGTTCCCACCTTAACATACTTCTCCATAAATTTGTATTCCCAATCCTGTAACGCATCGAGCTCAAATGGGCCAAGACCGGAAATATCACCGGTCAAATCTTTCTCTTCGAAAGACATCTTTGCTAAAGCTCTACTAGCATCCTTGCCAGCAAATAAAGCATAAGGCCCGCCAGGTCCATAGAACATCCTGGAACAACAATCTTTAAAGTTACATTGACAGAAATATAACCGCATATGTATATAATTCATTGTTGCAGAACTCAGGGCCAATTAGGAAAGAAGACCAAAAAGATTCAACATATGCAATAAAAATTAAAAATTAACTATCACCTACAGAATAGGGTATCAGAAAAATAAAATAGAGAAGCTAAGAAAAAGGGTTATTTTTAACCTGCTCTGGGAGACATCATAGATCTGACCCTTAATGGCCATAAGCAAGGGCTTATCGTGATCATTTCCATCGTAGCCCTTGAGCTCTTCTTCGGTGATTTCACCTAGCTGAACAGGTGGTCGGAGAGGGGGAACCTCTGCTTGGATGTGGCGGGTTTGGGGGTGACGGTCGGAGGAGGAGGAACCAAAGAGACCAGAAACGACGTAGAAAAGGGCTATTAGAATCGCCAATGCAGTGTAGAAAGTGATCGGAGATAGACCGGTGAAGGCGAAGACGACCTCCTTTTGGGCCTGCCACCACTGCTGCAAGGTTTCCATCACTCGGTGTTAGAGAGAGATAGAGAGAGAGAAAGGAACAACAAAATGTAGAGAGAGAAACGTTAAAGCTATGTCTATAATAAAAATGCAATTGTATTTGGAAATTCTTGATTCTCTAGAATTTATCTTTATATTTTTCTTCTTAATCACATTAAACAAATAAGACTAAATGTCTTCTATTTTATTTTTAAATTTTGTATTGATTTTATCTATTAATAAAAAATATTAAAATGAATAGTTATCTTTATTGAATAAAAAGTAGTAAAAATAATTTGACTTAAAAGGTAGTGTCCTGTGTAAAATAGTTTTATACTGTAATTCAATAGAAAAAATATATTATGTTATGTTATTAAAAAAATTAAAATAAAAAAAATGACTTAATTGGATATATGATTGTGATTGATTGATATTGTAAAACTAAATTACATTGTCAGTGTATCAATTATTTTCTCAAAAAATTTATTATTTTAAAAATGATATAATTAGTCAAGTCTCTTAACTTAATTTAATGTTTCGCGTTAACTAAAAAAATATTATATTTGTCACCCAAAATTTATCATACTCTTTATCAAATTATTTGATTTATGCATCTAACATTCCTCATATGCATTACCTTTCATTAGGTCATTTAATATATTGTTCGCAAGGATTTCTCGCGAATAATCTGTAGCCTCTTACTTAAAGGTTATTTGCAGGACGAGCTACAAAAGTCTTAGACTTAGTGTTAAGTTTGTACGGTGTTTTGGGATTAGAAAGCTGAAAAAAGGTAAAAAAGACAAAGATAAAGATAAATCCGCAAGAATGATAAATAAGACAGAAAACATGAAGTAAATTGCTTTGAATTTAAATGTGGATGCAAGCATACATTTTTCAGAAGTGACTTGTTTCTCTTTTTGACGTGGATACTTTGAGTGCTTTCTTACAATGTTACAAAATGCGACCTCTAACATGAATGAAAAAACTTGCTTAAATAAACAAACAAAGTAACTACTATCATACACGTTTGATGGTTATCATAACCACGTTTGGAGTTCGTGATGAAACTGCCCTTTTGAACCTTTCCACGTTCTATTTGTAATTGTCGATGAAGATTGCTCCAATGCTTTATGTATTTGCTTTTGGCTTTCAAACCCCTCATCGATCTGGCTCCCAGTCGACTAACTTCAAGCCATTATGTCGGCCTATCTTCCAAAACTCTGAATTTTGTTAAGTCTCAAAAGGAACTTTTCCCCTTAGTAACATGTTGACGCCTCTCTCACCATGGGTTATGTCGAAAATACTTTCCTCTTAGTGATAACCCTTAGCTTATAACCACTTCCCTTTTTGAAAAATTACTGGCCAACAAATTACCCCCCAAAATGCCAATTTCGACTGAAGCTATGTCGACTGAGAACTTCGGCATTTTCCTTCTTTTTTAATTTTCAACCTCTTGTCTACTCAGTTGACGACATGCGTCATGATGACCACTTTCTGCGCCACTATTCCCAATATTATTCCATCATTTCTCATGGTGGCTCTTGGTTTCTAGAGTGTGAGATTCCAACAAATATTACTAACTCTTCCACTTCTAAATTTAGTGACAATCATCACTTTACAAGTGGGTGTCATTGGTCCATCATCGACGATTTCACTTTGTCTATAAATAATCTTCCAGATGCAAGATCTCACCCTCACAAGGTATAATTGTACTTTCCTTTTTTTTTCTCCTGCTTCTGCGTCTGCATATGAAAAGCGTCCTCTCGACATGAAATTTATGAAAACCACTAGAATTTTTTGATCCATGCCCACTCCTGGTAACAAAGTTTGGGTTGTGTGGCTCAACAAGGTTCAGAAAAATAAGGAAACCCATTGGAAGGAGAATGGTATTTTCGATGCCATCCAACTATCCAGAACTGCTCACAGGATAAATCCTAGCATGATTCTTGCTTTAATTTACTTCTGGAAAGGTTCGACCAATACCTTTCAATTTCCTTGTGAGATGATGACTCCTACCATATTTGACGTCGCCGCTATTACGGGACTCTCACCTTTAGGTGAAACCTTCGACCCTACACTTTCGACCAATTTTGAGTTCAACTTCAGTCGATCCAGTCTCTATGAGTACATTGAAGATCATCATGTCAAGGACAATGCAAATATTGATGACATAGAGCACATTGTATTTCTGAAATACTGGCTCTCATATTACTTATTATGCCCAGGCTCTCTTCAAGTGGCTAAGGGTTACATCAACTTAGCCATCCAAATTCATGAAGGTCAGAAGATCTCCCTGGGTAAGTTGTTATTGGATTTTTTATATCAATCTTTGGGTCATGCCTCTATTAGAGTCAGGATTCTCCCTAAAACGGACAAAACCCTCCTTCTATCTGGTCCCTTATGGCTATTGCAACACTAGATGAATGCCACTTTCGAACATATTGTGGGTTACCCTTTTCTGAAGCCCTCATGTGTTTTCCTAGTAATTGAACCCATTAAAGATACTCGACTTGCCTTGACTACCCCTCAAGAAAATCTGAACAAAATTAACTTTCTAAAATATATCGATCTATTCCTTGAGGATAACTTTTTTTCTTACATGGCCTCTTTTGCGGATCGACATGTTGGCCCCGTCTGGTTCAAAAACCCTTTTCATGGTGTCTCTCGTCCCGCTGCTGCTCAATCGAATGTTGTATGGAGAGCATTTTTTACTATGACTCTCATTTATTTCATATTAACATTGGGTCAAACGGTTATGGATTGACCAACTATCAGTCGTATCGAGTAGCACGCCAGTTTGGCCTTAGTCAAATGTTGCCCAAATCCCTTTATTCCTGCTATACTGATATTTGTTGGGCGGGGCACACTCTTTCTTTTGAGGAACACCGTGAATGCCTTCTCTTCCATAGAACAACTCAAACTTTGGAACTTCCGACATTCCATTTTCAACAATCTTTCTTTACTACTGCTGAGTTCGATGTGTGATGGTCCAAGTATCAAGAACAACATTTTTCTACAACCTCCTTCTTGCAGAGACTCTCAAAAGCTTTTGACTGACTAGAAATGCAGTCAAATACTTCGACATGTATGTTTTCAACAATTATGTTTAACTTATCATTTTCCCTCCCAATAGTGTTATTTATCTTTATCATTATTTAGGTCCCACAGTGGATCCTGCAAACCCTACAAGGCAAACTCCTAGCGACACTCCAAAGACATCAGTTACTATTGTCAAAGAAGACCTAAAAAACAGGTATCTTTATTTCCTCCCGACTCATTTTCCAAAAGGCTCGTCTAACAGTTTCTTTTCCAAATTCACAAAAGATCATCGATTGTGGCTCCTGACTCTGTCCAACCCTCAAATAAAAAGAAAAATAGCAGACCTTTAACTCAGCTATAAATACTCTTTAATTTCCCTATACTTTTGTGTCAAAGCTCATCTGACTTGTCTCACTTCAGGCTCTTGAAACGCCACCTCCCTCCATTGGAGGAGAAATAAATCTTGATGGTGAACTCAATTATATTTTTCCTTCTTTAATAACGTTGACTCCTACCAAACCGAAAAAGACTTCCAAGAAAAGAATTGTATTGCGCAACACTGCTCCACAAGCTACCCTTCTGATTTCTACTATATCTGAAGAACGACAATTTCCCCTAGCTCTACGCACAAAGGACTAGATTCTCATTGATTTCCCTCACAACAATAGCATATTGACATCCTTGAGGTAGAAATCCTTCTTATTCAGAGTCACAGATTTTCAGCTTTTGATTTTATGTTAACTTTTTTTTCCGACAACAGGGTGAAACACAAACAAAAAGCTTGGATAAAGATCCTTCTTTGGACTATGTTCATGTGGATGAAAACATTACTCTGAGTCCTCAAAGACTAGATGATTTTATTGACACGGATGGTTCCACAGAACATAGCCCTCAGTCGCATCCTGAAATTACTACTAAAGAACCCCAACATATTCCAACTGAACAAGCTAGTGTCAAAGAGCCCAATTTTCAACCCTCTAATGTCGAAGGTGACCCATTTCACAACTTCCAGGATATAGACTGCATTAGTTCCCTTTAGTCAAGAGGAAATACTGGCCATTAAGACTCAAAGTCCAGCCAAAACCCTGAGACATCTTCAAAAACTCCAACATGTGTCATTGGACTCCAACACTCCCAATTCGACCGTCATTGCTGAGACTGATGCCAACATTAACCTAAAGCTACAAAAACTCAAAACTTATCTCTTTGACGGTGATTTTCTCATTGTGGTCGAAGAAGAAGCTGACCTAGGAAGAAATATTCTCAAGTTGATTGATGAACTTAGTCATTACGATATTCTTGAGTCTATTGCTCAATATTTGGTTGAGTTTAAGGCTTTCTTCAGCCAACTGAATCAAGATTTTGTTATTAGAAAGAATGTTGATCTCCAAATCAAGAACAAAATCAATGAAATGGCTCAAGAGTGGGATTTTAGTGAAGCTTGCAAGAAAAAACTGATTGAATTTAAGGCCACAGAGCAACAACATTTTGACAAACACCAAGAAATTGACACCGAAATTTCTGGCTATCAGGCTCAGATTGACGAGCTTACTAAGAAAATTGAAGAGACCAATCAAAGGAAGCCTTCCATCGATGCTGGCAAAAATTCTCCCACTCAAGAAGAAATCAACAATCGCCTTAAAAGGAATCTCCCATGGCGAAAAAAATCTCAAACTCAAAGCAACCATTGAAGCAATCAAGAAGAGGAAAGTTGGCATGGACCAAAAGATCCTTTATGAAAAAGCACGTTTTGAAGAGTTCAAATTCAACTTCCCAGGTTGACTGGCTTCGACTCCTTACTTATTTTTAGATGTTTATATGACTATTTTGCCCTTTGAGGCTTTGACATTACCCCTGTTTTGTAATCTTTAACTTATGGCTACCATTTTGGATTTATTCCATTTTGGTGATGAACATATATAATTTGTTTTTTTATTCCATGGTAATTTGAACCTCTTAAAGTATAAGTCCATATTTTTTTAAAA